CACCTGAACACCTCAAACAGCGTTTGGACTGCTAACAGATAAGTGTGAGAGGTTAAGCTGTATTCTTAAGTCCAGGTCATAGAAATTAGGTCTTCAAATGGTGTATGTTCACAAGTGTGAATGTTGTATGTTTATGTGGTATGCAGCAAAGCAGGTTCATCTTTAGAAATTAGGTCTTCAAATGGTGTGAATGTTGTGTGTTTGTGTGGTATGCAGCAAAGCAGGTTCATCTGTGTTGAACAAAAGCAGGAGAGGGGAGGTGAACACGTGGAGCCCCACCTCCTCCTCCTCCACAAACTTTGTTGACATGCTGCCACCTAAAGGATTTTGCTGCCTGCTTCTTTGCTGACTTTTGCTGCTATTTCTGCTGCTGAGAAAATAGAGATTTGAAACTATCACTGCAGAGCTATGCCTCCAATTAATGTCCGTTAACTTCAGATGTCTTGCATGGAACAGTTTGGAAGGAAGTTTTAAATAGTCTCATTTACAGTCATGATGATGTCTAAACACGCACAAGGCTCCAACTAATCTGCTGAATAAACATTTAACCAATAAAATGCCAGAGAAAACACTTATGAAATGCAGATCCCAGTTTCCTCAGGCCCAAGGTGACACATTTTGTGTGACCAGCAACTCAAAACCCAAATATATTCAATTTTAACAGGCTGCTAACAGTTATTTATATTATTGATTAAGGATTGATTTTGTCTATAAAATGCACTTCACTACATCAAACATGACATCTTCAGGTGTCTTGTTTTGTCCAGTCAACAGTCCTTATACCCAAAGATATTCAGTTTTCTATCATGCATGACCATGGAAGCAATACATTAATCACATGTAAGAACCAGTAACTGTTTGGCATTTTTGCTTAAAATCACAAATGTGATTATTGAATTATCAAAATAGTTGCTGAATAATTTTCTATCAGTCAAGTGTTTCATTTAAATGTCAAATGGTTGCAACTGTATTTAATGTAAAATAATACAAAAAATAAATACACCACTAATCTTCAATGGCAGCGAATTTCTGACATTATTCCTTTTATAAATAATGACGATTCAAAATAGTTTTGGATCGATCAATCCCATAATTCACAAATTTTCAGCACAAAACTCTCATTTAAAGTCATGGTTGTGGGGATATTTTTCATGTTAGTATAGTTTTCACACTGAGCACATCACATCACTTTTCAGCATAATCCTGAAATAATATGATGGTGAATCGGTTATATTGTTAACTTAAGAGTAAGATACCGTTCTAATAATTGAAAAAGTAGAGAGCTGTGCTACTTGTCTCTGTCTCAGATCACAGTAGATCGTGTGTGTTTTAATGGTTTAACTACTGGTCAGATTAAATAATGTGAAGACAATGACCCACACGCACTGAAAGGGCCCTGCAGGCTTCACCTGGCATTTGTGGAAAGCAGCCCAGCTGTTTGAGAGTGACCCCACCTTAATGTGAATAAGATCAACCACTTAGCCAAAAATGAACACAGTGTTTTGAATCTCTCAATATAATAATATGCCAAAGTATCTGCAACCATTTCTAACATCAGCTCTGATGTGTTCACAGCCTGAAGCAGAGTCCAAAGTCTTCTCTCATTCCTCTCTTCCTCCCTGTTTCACTCTGGCTCTGATGTAGCTTATATCCGGCTGACGAACACCGGGCCAGTTGATTATTATTCCACTGCAGAGCTGCAGGCAGCACAGATAAGACCACGAAGGGCTCCTATCTGGAATTGGCAGCGTCACTCTCCATCCATTCCTATTCTCTACCCATTAACCTCTGTCCTGGGCTGAAATGGGAAATTAAGAGCATGCTGAGCTGCAATCAGAACAGTTAATTGGCTTCTGCAGTGCAGTGTAGCCTCAGGCTTAGCGCTCCTGTCAGTGTACTGTACAGTCGGGTTGTGGTTGTTATTTGATGTAATTGAGGCTGCACTGATTAGTGCTGTGATTGTGTATCCATCAGCTCAATTTGAGTTCTCCAGCTCATGACCAGCTTCTCCTCTTACCACCAGGTACTGTTGGATGTTCCAGTGTATTTATGTTGTCTGTAAGGCTTCATTCACATCACAGGCCTTAATGCTCACTTCTGGTATTTTGTCAGATCCTGTCTTTTTGATGCTTCCATGTATCCAGCTCTGATGTGAACACCCCCGAGGTGCTACACATGTACAGATTTAACTGAAATGTGAGCCATGTGCATATTAAGATAACAGCATCATCTGAGTGATGGTCAAATTGCACAGTTTCTCAAAAACTGCTCTATCTTATGTTCCTTTGAGTTTGTCTTGATCAGAAGCTTTTTCATAAATGTCCAATAAATGTGAAATCCCCTTGTCCTCTCCACTGACCCCCGTATGGAAGTGGCCCAGATCTGCAGCAGCTAATGTGAGTGTAGCATTAGTGAAATGGTCACCAGTGTCAACACCATTGGTTGTTTATTACCCAAAAAAATGGGAATAGCTGCTAGCTTGACTCATTTTCCCCACTGTATATAGTAAAAGGTATGGATGTAACGATTTTTGTAATTGTGCACTAGAAAAATGTCTCAATACTATATAGGCTATGTAAAAGGCTATGTAAGTGCATTTACCAGAAACAAGAGCAGCTTCCTCACAGCAGGTCAATGTCAGCTCATTATTGATTAGATGGTCAGTCTGTTCGTACCAGATGTCCAGCACCAGCTGCTCGGAAATATTCTGGTGCTCTAATCGAGTTAAGACTCGCTATGTATTGTTAATGAGCCAATGTGGCAGTGCAGCCTTTAGTTTCATAATAAGTACCGTTATCTGAAATAGCCCATATTGGTGCTGTCATTGGGAGTCCTATCAGCAGGTTCATTATTGTGAAGCTGATAAGGCGTTACATCCTCTCTCAGTTCAAAACCAATGGTGTAAAAGTGACTTTAGTGTTATTAGAAGTTGGGTGTCATAACAGCCTTGGGAGGAAAAACGTGGTTCTGTGGCTGACACTTAACGTGGGATACTATCTTCCTGGCCTAACGGTCGATAGACTGCCAGGACTTCCCCTTCGACAGATCCATGCACTAAATCACATGCTCGCTCAGCATATACAGGAAGACCACAGAGCAGTGCTGCATGCAACTCAGGATATTAAGTAAGGACAATGGCGATGATCCGTTTGAGAAGATTTTTACGAGTAGTCTTGTTTCATGAAGAGGATGATGTGTTTACTAGCTGCTCACCACCAGAGGTAATATGTTACATGTATATATTTTATGATTTAGCACAGGTTTTCTTTTAAGCTGCACCTTGCTTCAACATCTGCAGTAGAGGGTTTTTCTAGTATGCATATGCGATATATATATATATATAAAAGTGGAGAGTGTATATTGTCATGCAGTGGTACCATATTTAATGGCACGCTTCTCATCCTTCTGAATATTCCATTCTCCCGGGTACCTCCAGCTGTTTCCTTGGCCGCTGCATATTTCATCCCTATTGATCCCCATGCAATAAAAACATCACAGAGCCACTGTTAGGAGGCCTCGGGGCACTGGCATTATTTATGACTCTCTTTACCCTGTCGCTCTGAACCCAGGCAGCTGCTTTGTAATGGCAGCATGAAATAACCATGACAGGCAGCACATTGACTGGATCAGTCGTGCGTCACAGTTCTGAAGAAGGATGCTCTGTCATTAGAGGCAGCATGCTAGCTGTTGTACAGCTGAGGAGATTTTTGACTGAACGGCGGACCCTCCTATAACAATGTACAAAATCTAGGTTGTGGTTGGTCAGGTCTCCTGTCCTGTTTAACACAAACTTTTCTGCAGTGTATTAGTAACTTGTCAAATATCTTTCTCTGCCAAGAGACCTCACTTACTACAAGTTAAAATAAAACCAGGATGTGAAATTGAAATTATTTTCCTCCTGATCTTGACAGGTTAAGTACTTTCAGTCCTTATTGTCTTCATAGGCTTCCTCTTTTTGTGTATTTTACTCTTAAAAAAAAAAAAAAAAAACTAATCTGAAAAGTCCAAGATTCAAGGAGCAACATGAAGCCGTTCATTTTGGTCATAGAGGAAGTGATTAGTCACTTAATCTAATCAGTTAATTGTTTGAAAAACAAAACTTCTAATGGTTCTAGTTTCACAATATTATTTTGTTCTTTTAGTTTACGTCGTAGTAACTGTTAGCCTTCAGGACATTGTGATCGGTTTTTAGTTTTTTAATTAACCATGAAAACATTCAGCAGATTCGTCATCAGTGAGAATAATCATTTCTCTACCTGCTGTTAGTATCAAGAGAACTGTAGGAATGTTTTTCCTCATTTTTCATCCGGTTTCTATTTAATTTATGAACTTTGTTATTTTGTGAATCTCTCTTTCTCACAGTTAATGTTCATGATGGCTAACAGATAAGGTATCTGTTGTACATAGCTGCCATTTTATTACCCCAACATTCAAATAATACAGTCAGACCCCAAAACAGTTATGCAATTTGACGTGTGAATTATGGGATCCATATTTACCCATTTACTTTTATATGTTTCAGTTTTTCTTTTGCAGGGAAGATTTCCAGTTTCCTCAGCTGTAAGGATGAGCCTTGGCAAACTGTTGTGCCGCTGTTCAGAATGGATGATGCTTTGATAGTCAGTTTTACTTCCTTATTTCTACCTGACCTGTGTTATATAAAATAACACTTCCTTCCTTGTCCTCATCCTGAGTTCTCTTAGTGCACTGCTCCTCTCTCAGCTTCAGCCGCTCTGTCCCTAATGCTCCAATGCCGCTCAGTGTTCATCACAACTACTGCAGTGATTAGGCAGTTGTGTCTATGTGGAGCTCAGTAGGAACGTGCCATTAACATTGTGGCTGAGGGTGTTTTAGATGAAAGCTTTTATGTACAGCTGTTGCACTCTGAAAGCTGTCACCTTCATTAGCTGTCCAAAAACTTCTCCCTGACTATAAAATAGACTTGTATCCTCTCACACACTGTTCCACCTCACTCTTTTTCCTTCTCTCTCCCCCATCAGACGGTGTCTTTGTCAGGCCAGGGCTGCTCCGAGTCGCCTGTCTACACCAACCTCCAGGAACTGAAGATCACCCAGACCAACCTGCCCCCTCTTCCCTCTGGCACCCCTGTCCATGTGCTGGGTGACTGGGAGACCTACAAGGACCAGAGTGGCAGGCACTTCTACTACAACCGCTCCACCCAGGAGAGGACCTGGAAGCCACCTCGAGCCAGAGACACCAGCACTGGGAACTTGAGAGGAGAGCGGCACAGCACTGGAGAGAGCTCTGAGGTATGCACACCCAATTTTACATCTATGAAGACCTTTTAGTGGCAACGCCACACCCTAACCTCTAATCTACATTGAAATCATCTCACACCTGTCTCACGCTGCAGATAGAATTCCATTATGTCAGATGTTTCAATCCACACAGAATCCAAGACGCACATCTCCCGTAGAACTCTTGCGTTTTTGTTTTGTTTTTTCATGCTTCATATCTATTTTTTCCCCTCTGCTGCATTTAGTGAAGTGTAATCTCCACAGACAACTGTTTAAATCACACATCTTGTTGTTTTCAGTTCCTACTGGAATCTGTTACGAGTGATCAGGCTGCTTCAGTTTCACTCTCTAAAGGGAAAATATATAAATCCATAGACTACATAAAAATGTGATTTCTTCCTGGTTTTCTTTCATGAAATCTATTTTTGTTCAGTACACTTGTGTTGTTGGTCCTCATTGTAAAGACTTAGACAGCTGTTCTGACGACTTTACAGGCAGAACGTGCCGCTCATGTCTCGCTTTCAGTGTATTTTCCCAGTAAGAGGTAATGCACAAGTGCAGGTTGTTAGTAAAGTCATTCTTTGGCAAATGAATCGGTGATGGTCACAGAATTGTCAGAATAGCTGGTGACTGTTTATTATAGAAAGAACAAATTACTTAGATGGTGGTCCCGCAGTACCAGCAAGGAAAGTGAGTGAAACTAAACATTTTCTCATAAAATATGGTTTCATGAACACTATAGCATGAAAACAGAGAATTAGATACAACACACTCAGAGTAAGTTCAGATAATGTCTCTGGGTCGAAAAAGCAATTTTTTTTTAAAAGCAGGAATCTTTATAGATAGGATGAGCAGTTTATGCCACAGCCAGTAAAAACCTGTCGAAGAAGGAGCCATATCACCCACACCATGAGTCAGAGCTGCAGTATTAGATAGAAAAAAAACAATAGATACTTTATTGTTTCCAAGGGAAATTCAGGTATCCAGTAGCAACAACAATAATTACCAAAATGATGGCAACCCAAGTAAAGAAATGTATAAAAGTGTAAGATTAAAATACAAGGGGAAAAAGTATTTTAAAAAATACGAGAAATAAGAGTATAAGAAATACATAACATGGGATTGCTTTTCTATTGTGACTGATTAAAAGTGCTGTACATCTGCAAAATAGATCTTTCAGCACTGACAGATTTGATTTGTCGGATAAAATACGTCTTTTTTTCTTTGCTGACATGCAGCTTGATTGTACTATACACCCACAGCAGCTTCATTTGTTCTTGAACAACTGTGATTAAAAACACACACAGACATTTGTCATTTGGACAGTCAGCATTAGACTTGATCTGATCAACAGTGAAGGCCTGTTTTCAAATGTTCAACTCTCACACCAACACACATACTGCGCCAGATTATCCTGAATCATTTGGGAGTCTTCTCTGATTCAGCTGCTGTTTCTTAACTGCTTACTGCCACCTACAGGCGAAAAGCTTTCGTTTTTTTTTTTCTATCACACTGCAGCATTCACTGAGATTTACACCACACTGGCCAGAATTGAGCATGAACTTCAGTGATTATTTTTCCTCTTTGATTGATCTTCTGCTTCTCTGTACTGTATTAATGATGGTTTATTGATTCTGGGTGCCTGACTGTCCATTCCTCCTCTGGAGCTCGATGGTGACTGTTTTCTCCTCTCTCCTCTCACCTCTCTCTTCACTAATGGTAGACCACTCCTCTCTCGCTCTCGCCGTCTTTCCTTCCCTACCTCTCGCTCTCCATTGGTCGACTCCAGCCTCTGTCATCCGAGGACACCTGCTTCAGTACCTACTCTAGCCAGTCAGACAGTCAGTATGGTTCGCCGGCACGTGGGTGGTCTGAGGAGATGGATGAGTATGGCCACACACTGTACGTCAGCGACTATACTAATGAGAAGGTATGGGCTGCATGAGGCTGATCTCCTCTTTCTTTGCTGTGGTGCTTTCAGGGAATGGATTTAGGGTGGATTGTGGTGATTTTACACCTATATTGCAATAGTCAAACATTTCCTCCACACTGATTAGGCTGTAACACCAGTACCTCTACTAGGCAACGGGTCAAAGATTGAACTGTCTGCTGGAGTTTCCCTCATAAGACACTCAAATTCCTCATTATCCAGAACTTGTTTTAATCAAAATAATCACATAAAATATCCAATGTAATTGTTGTTTAAAGCTCTGGTATGTAACTTTTTTCAAATACTTTAGTTGTAGAAATCTGCCCCAAAACTGGTCTTGATGTGGAGAGGTGCTGTCGAAGCCTCCTGTGACTCGCTCATTGACCAGCACTGGCAGCAGTGCAGAGATATTAGCTTCTAAAGTTTGTGGGCAGGATTGATCTCTCAAACCCATCAGAGATTTTCAATTATTTCTGCTTGATCAGTAAATTTTGTTGCATCTCATTTACTGTAATTTCATAATGACAGTTATCTAAAGAGCTGGGCAGAGCGTAGCTTTAAGTTCAAAGAAAAGTGACATAATTTCATGTAAAATGAAAGTTTATTAACAAGAGTTGAAGTTTTAAAACTTACTATGACATTATAAACTTTATGCAACATTTCAAATGATGAAGAAACCTAAAATGTATCTGTGGGACAGTAGGTTTAATGTTATTGCACAAATACCTCAGTGATGTCAGGGCTGTTTCTGCTCTGTGTGTGTATGTGTGCACCACCAGTGGTTAAAACATGTTGACGACCAGGGCAGGCCTTATTACTACAGCGCAGACGGCTCCAGGTCAGAGTGGGAGCTCCCTAAGGTACGATTTTGCAACAATCTTCACAGGTCATTAAATTGAATACAATTAAGTTGGCACCTGGCTGCTTAGCTTCTGTAAAGGTCATAATGACAAGTAACTTGAGTTCACGTTGCAGACGGCTGCCTCACTTCTGTACCAGAAACAAATTCCTTGTGTGTGTAATATACTTAGCTAAATAAAATTAGTATAGATTATCATTAGAATTTTTTTCTGTAAATAACTGTATTGAATTTGTTGCCAATTTGGGGGTTTATTGTCAAAAACCAACTGAGCTACTTATATTTATAACTAAAATGCAGTTTTTAGAAGATGCAGAGTTCAGCCCCACTTCAGGAGATGATGTAGTTTGATTTTACCTGGTGAATGTTCAGTTGTAGCAACCTGAGAATTTCTGACAATACCCATCATATTAAGGTGAAAAGTCTTATGTGTGTATGTTTGCATGAGGTAAAATTACAAGTCTATAGATGCTGTATGACTCCCCCTTCCCTCCCTCCAGTACAACGTCTCCCCTCCCCAGCTATCCAGAGACGCACAGAAAACTCAGAGTTTGGACAGAAGGCATGTGGAGCCGATCGTCTTGACCAAGTGGAGACACAGTGCCTGCGACCAAGAGTCCAATGACAAGGTCTGACACCCAGCTCTGCAAACTACAGATTCAAAACTAGCTCCTCTGTGGAAATCTCTGCAGTAAATTGTATAATCCATTCCAGCACAGCTGCCAGCTGTGTTTAATGATTCCAAGATTATCTGTGTATTGACTTAAAGTATACTGTACAGATATCTGTTGTGTTCACTGGTGAATCCTGAGTTTCAGTTGTAGACTTGTTACATTGCAGCGGCCGTTAAAAACCAGGTGTTTCCGTGCAGGCTCTGCCCGCCTCCACCCATACAAGCACCAAGTCAGTAGCCTGTCAGACTGATCAATCAGAGGCTTGCCCCTTAATCTGAGCAGACAGTCAGGTTGCATGGACATAATCTCACAGTAATTTAAAAAAAATCCTAGGTTTCATGTCAAATTCACCTGTTTTCACTTGATTCTCTGAGTTGTTTGATCTTGTTCATGTGAATCATTCCACTAATAACTGAACCTGATAAACATAGGGTGTTTTCACACTCGGTCCCTTTCAGCCCTCAAAACAAACTCAGAGCAATTAGTCAACATTTTCTGTGTAAATGTGAACGCTCCAAACTCAGACCCCTCTGAGACGAACCGAGCTGAGACCTCCCCAGGAGGTGGTCTCAGTTCAGTTTGTTTCAAGTCCAAATTATACAATTATACAAATGGGTTAATGAATAAAAATAACCATTAGCCAGCTGATGGTGATGGGTTCGTTCATAAATTCAATCTGAAATGGTCAAAGCATCATGTGAACTGTCATTCAGAATTTCAGTTTCACTTAAGAGTGCTCAAAGCAGGGGTGGCTATAATGATTTCGGGGCTGGAGGCACCTCGCAGTAAATGTACTATCAAAAAACAGTCTTGTGTTGAGTTATCTTTTTTTAAACATTACAGTATTCACATTATAGTCTAGTACCAGGTTAATAAGCAGTATTGGTAGTAGTACTGTTAATCTTAATGATACCCATGTGGATGAGTAGTTTGGTACAAGGAAGTGGCTACTGTACTTCTCCAGATATGGAACAAAGAACTCATCAAACTACAACTGTCTACAGCGCACAGACACGCCAAGGGTTTCCTTCAGTTTTCAGCTCATGTGAGAGCAAGGAGCTTCATTAGGACCCCACTGCAGTGCCAGTGGGGAAAAAAAAACTACGTCAAGTACTTTACTATATGCAATAGAAAGAGCTAACGTAGAGAATCTTTTGACATAACAGCCATTTATGAAAGC